CGCTACCACCCGGCCCGTGCATGAGCATGTGAAGGCGGTCACTGTTATTGGTGTCCTTGGTATTGGGCCGCCTGAGGACGTAGTCGACGATGTAGTCCATGGCTGCCTTCTGATGTTTCGTTTCGGGGCTTGGGTTCTGTGTCGTCAGCATTTCGAAGGCTTCCTCTCCGCCTTCTACCGGTGCGAAGGCATCGCCGGCAGCCCCTGTGGGCACGTGATCTGGCGGCAGGAAGTCGATCTCGCCACCATACCGCTCTTTCAATGCCTCCATAATCTTCAAAGAGTCTTCGTAGTTTTCCTGGGCGATCTTGCTGTTGGCCCATCCATCCCATGCATCGTCGGGACGCATCTTCGCCTTCATGTACATGACCGCCTGGACGGCTTGCAGCTTCCGGGCTGCATGTACAGTCCCATCCATTTCGGGGAAACACTTTGACCGCAGGAAGTCTGGGTGGCCAGTCGTGTCCCGAGCAACCCGTCGAAAGGCTACTGCGTGGCTTCCGTTGTCCTCCTCTTGCAGCCAGTCTCCTGGCTCTACCCAGACCAAATACAGCAACAATTTGGAGTAGTAGAAAGCTTCCGGTTCGAGGTCAGGACTGAAGTTCCGGTAGGCGACGATCGCAGGTCGCCTTCGTCGCTGTGGCTCCCCACCGATGAACTTGAAGGCTGCGCAAAAATCCAGAAAGTTCACCTCCGAGAAAAGACAGCTCTTGAACTTGCCACCCTCCACCGGAATCTCGACTGTCTCTTCCCCGAACCTGCGTTGCACCTCCCGGTACCGCCTCTGGGCCACGGGCATGGAGTCCTCGAGGTCCAGTTTCTTGCTGCGGTATTTGCCTGGTCCCTTCAGGGCCATGCTCTCCTCGTTCTTCGGTACTGACAAGGTCCAAGTTTCTGGTGGGCCCACCTGGATCCACTCGTTGTCCCTAGAGAACTCGACGACGGGGAAGCCCAGCAGCAGGTGGCAGGCTTCGAACGTCGATGTGGTTCTGCCCTGCAGCGCGGCGTGGGCGGCTTTGTAGACCTGCTGTTTGCCGAGGCCGGCGCCGTCGTTGCTGTTGCTGGAGGTGAGGCTCGCGACGATATTCTCCACACGCTGTTGTGCCTGCTTGTCCTGCTCCGATTTCATGGCATAGCCGAGGATGTAGCGGCTCGCGCTGGTGAGCTCGCAGATGACTTGGAGGTCCATGCTAGCCCGCCACCGTCGAAGGATCTTGATGTTGTACTGCCCCATCATGCTGTCCGACTGAACCCGCCTCGTCGCCAAGCTGCTTTTCCAGCGACTGTTGGCATACCTCTCCTGGGACGTACGGCGCCTGGTCCGCGTTTCTGCGGTGTGCGGGAAGCCGTAGCGGCAGGCGCCGTGCGACTTGATTCCACAGTACTCGGAGTGGTGGTGCACTAACAGCTCGGCCAACTTGGCGTTCACTTCGATGTCTCGGGACGAGACTTTCTTGGATTGCCTCCACGTGAAAGGGGATTTGGTGCAAATATACTTATCGCTCCAGTCTTCCGCACAGCTGGGAGTGAAGGACTGCATGACCTCCTCATCCGACCAGTCGGGGGCTTGCGGCTCGTCACCGGATCTGTCCTCGGAAGACATCTTTGCTGCCCGAGTTGGCTTCTCAAGTTCCATCACCCAGAATAGGATGTGAGCGTGTGGATAGCCTCTCTTCTGCCATTCAATGCGAATGATGTAGTCGAGCACCCTGAATGGTGGCGCTCCCTTGAAAACTTTTCGGTGTTGGCCTGCAGAGTCCATGGTCGGCGCCTGGAGAAAGTCGTCCTCGTCTTCGGCCGCAGGATCGTCCTCGGCATCCACATCTTGGTCGAGGTGCGTCGTTGTTGCTTCGTGCTTGGCGGACAGCCAGTGCATGAGCTGGGTTACTTGGTGCATGAATTGACGAGCCACAACGGCGGGATGCTGATTGCACAGCTGGTTCGGGGACAGACCGTCCCAGGTGAACTTCTCGTCGGCTTGGTAGCACTGCAGGATCTGAGCGGCTTCTCTCTCGATCTCTTCTGGCGGTTTCGCAGGACGCAGCCGGAGCAGCCGTGCCATGATGACGGCGACCAGGATGTCGGGCTGTCGGGCATGGCACGAAAGAGTCATGAAGAAGTTGGGCACTCCGAGCTGCTCATACATGTTGACCGCGACGCCCTTCTTTGCGAAGACGTACGAGCTGGTTCCAGGGATGTCCCGGAGAGCCGCGAACACTCGCGCTTTCCCGTCCTGGTACTTGGTCTTCCCGCTGGGGCCCTCCTGGCCTATCCTGACATTCACGTTGCCCGAGAGACGCTTCTTGATATGCATCTCCAGAAGCCACATGATGTAGCCGGCGGACGCCTCGAAGCGTGGGTCGAGATTCAGGAGACGCTTTCGCGCATATTGAGAGAAGCTGCCGTACTGGTCCTGCCACCTGCCCTCGCCGGTGGGAAACAGGTGCGGAAAGAACTTCACGTCCATGTCGTCGCTCATCGCTGATATGCCCCTGGCCTTTCGTAGCTCTTGTATTTCGGCTCGGGGAGCTTTTAGCTCTTTGGGAAGCATGTATGTCACTTCGAGCTCTTCCGATTGTGCTTCGGCCGGTGCCACAGGCGCTGCTGCTGCAGCATCGCCGTTGGCAGTGGGCGCTTTGCCATTGAGAATTCCGGCCATTTTGTCCAAAGCTTTGTCCACAGCCGGGCTCGCCTGGTACAGGCGGTGCTGGGATTTCAGCTGCCGCAAGGCTTGGTACAGGTGGTCGAGGCGCGCCGGCGAAGCGGTCATCCCTTGGACCCCCTCCACCAGGACCGTGCCATCTTCTTCGAGTGTTGCGCCATCCAGCACGTCGCAAATGAAAGGCTCGTCGACCAACATTGCGTACATGCGGCCCCACGGTGCACTTGGCCCGCCTGAAGGAAGCTTGTCAAGCAGGACTTGAGAGATTCGCGCCATGGCGAGCAGGTGATGCTCGATCGGCTGCAGGCTCCGGAGCGCTTCCGGGATGGGTGGTGGAGTGGGCAAGAAGATCTTGGTGACATTCTCCCGACAATTCCTGCAGAGCATGTTGCCCGTTTGCTTCGCCGGCCTGCAGTGCTTCGCAGTTGTGAGAGTGTGACATGCTTCACACACCCTGGACAATCCGAATCGACTCCAGCTTCGCGTAAAAGCCAAGTAGTGGGCTTGCGCTTGCTCCGAGGTCAGCACATCTTCATCCGGGAACGGGTAGCCCCGCTGTTGGGCTTCTGTAGCGATCGGCGCAGGACCACGGCTGCCAAGTCCTTCTTCTGCACGGCCAGCTTGAAGTTGTTGCCTCTGGGCCCGAGTGCTGTCCTCCGTGGGCCAAGGCCCGCGGCTGCCAAGTCCTTCTTCTGCACGGCCAGCTTGAAGTTGTTGCCTCTGGGCCCGAGTGCTGTCCTCCGTGGGCCAAGGCCCGCGGCTGCCAAGTCCTTCTTCTGCACGTTCAGCTTGAAGTTGTTGTCCCCGCGCCCGCCTGCTGTCCTCCGTGGGCAAAGGCCCACGGCTGCCAAGTCCTTCTTCTGCTCGTTCAGCTTGAAGTTGTTGTCCATGCGCCCGCCTGCTCTCCTCCGTGGGCAAAGGCCCACGGCTGCCAAGTCCTTCTTCTGCTCGTTCAGCTTGAAGTTGTTGCCTCTGGCCCCGGCTGCTCTCCTCTGTGGGCAAGGGCCCGCGGCTGCCAAGTCCTTCTTCTGCGCGTTCAGCTTGAAGTTTTTGCCTCTGGGCCCGAGTGCTGTTTGCTACAGGCACAGGTCCGCGGCTGCCCGCTCCTTGCGCTGCACGTTGCTGCTGTCGAGCACTCTTGTCCTCGTTCTTCCGGCGGAGGTTCTCCTGTTTCTGAGCTTCGCGGCACTGTCGATTGCTGCACCATCCTTTTCCTCGGCCTTGCATTGGCCAGCCACACCGTGGGCAAGGCGCCATCGTAACGAATTGAGATAATGCGGTCCCTAGGCTCGGCTAAGGCTGTATCCTCACGGGCTGCGATCGAATCTCAAGCATGTTCCATCAGCGAGCAAATCAAACGAAAAACAGCACAAAATCTCTTCAGGAACAGGTGATTCCAGACTGGATCCATGTCCAGACTGCCGTGTCTCTTGCTGCAGTGCTCGCCCCGTTTTGCGTTTGCTGCTGCTCGCGTTTGGAGCTCTAGCGGTCTGTGGCTTGCTTTGACATGTAGACAACTTGCACGTCCACGACCTCGTCGTGGAAGCTGCGGTCCAGGAGTTCGCGCCAGCTCCAAGCGTCGCTGATCACGTCTCCGTCCAAAACCAGTTGCGAGCCTTCGATGGGAATGGGTCCTGCAGGACTGCTGTCCAAGTCCAAAAGCAAGACCTCTCTGGTGCTGCGATGCTGCAGCGTTTCCGGCGGGATGGGCTTGTTGGTCTCCCGAAATCTGACACGTAGTTCATGCAGGGATAGGCAGCGATCGGGGTTGTTGCCCTCGTGCAGCTGGGCGAGCCAAGCTTCCCGGAAAGATCCGGGCGGTTCGAGTTGGCAGAGCAGGCGATAAGGCTTCGAGGAATGGATCTCGGCACCCTGCACGTTCAGGTACCTCACCGTCAGGTTGGCAAGACGCTCGTTGAACTCCTTCTGCATCTCCATCTCTTTCTTCCATCTTGTTCCTTCACGTGCATCTTCCTCGGCGTCGTGCTGCATTTCTGTGTCGACCCAGTCCCAACAATCGAACGGGTCCTCGCAGTCCTCCAGTTCGGAGCCCCGAATCGAGTGGTCTGAGCTTCTGGAACCCTCGCCCATGTCCTCGGACATCTCTGTTGCGCCGGTCGATCTCAGAAACAAGGGCCGTGGGCATGATCTTAGGCACTCGCTGTGACGACTGAGACTCCAGCCCGTAAGCGGCTACCTATAGGCCGCAGCTCGGAGCAGGACTACGACTCTTCACATTGAGCCCACGTGAGCGGAACTAGCTCGGCTTCTCACGCATAGCGAGCACTTGCACACAGTGTGCACTCGGTTGCAGAATAAACTTAATGGGGGAGTGTCATTAGAGCATGAGCAGGCACCTGGTACCCCATATTGGTTGAGAATAAGCGAGCCACTTCTGCATGTGAGCCCTCCGGCCTCGTCCCGTCTCTGTCTTTCTTCAGGTTGAAGATAGGCACCTGGTGCCCCAGATTGGTTGAGGATAAGCGCACCACCTCTCCATGCGAGCCCTCCGGCCTTGTCCCTTGCCTTCGTCTTTTTTCAGGTTGAGTATAAGCACCTGGGAGACCATATTGGTTGAGGATAAGCAACCACTTCTGCATGCGCCTCCGTCTTCTTCAGGTTGAGACCACGCACCTGGGACCCCATGTTGGTTGAGGATAACGCACCTCGGACCCCAGATTGGTTGAGGATAAGCGCTCCGGCCTTGTCCCCGCCTCCGTGTTCTTCGGGCTGAGACCACGCACTTGGAACCCCATATTGGTTGAGGATAAGCGCTCCGGCCTTGTCCCCGCCTCCGTGTTCTTCGGGCTGAGACCACGCACCTGGAACCCCATATTGGTTGAGGATAAGCGCTCCGGCCTTGTCCCCGCCTCCGTCTTCTTCAGGTTGAGACCACGCACCGTGGACCCCATGTTGCTTGAGGATAACCACCTGGCCTTGTCCCCGCCTCCGTGTTCTTCGGGCTGAGACCACGCACCTGGGACCCCATATTGGTTGAGGATAAGCGCTCCGGCCTTGTCCCCGCCTCCGTCTTCTTCAGGTTGAGACCACGCACCGGGGACCCCACATTGGTTGAGGATAACGCACCTGGGACCCCATATTGGTTGAGGATAACCGCTCCGGCCTTGTCCCCGCCTCCGTCTTCTTCAGGTTGAGACCATGCACTTTGGTTGACCTCCGGCCTTGTCCCTGGCTCTGTCTTCTTCAAGTTGACACCACGAACTGGGGACCCCATAATGGTTGAGGATAACGCACCTGGGACCCCATATTGGTTGAGGATAAGGGCTCCGGCCTTGTCCCCGCCTCTGTCTTCTTCAGGTTGAGACCACGCCCCTGGGACCCCATATTGGTTGAGGATACGCTCCGGGCTTGTCCCCGCCTCCGTCTTCTTCAGGTTGAGACCACGCACCTGGGACCCCATATTGGTTGAGGATAACGCACCTGGGACCCCATATTGGTCGAGGATAACCGCTCCGGCCTTGTCCCCGCCTCCGTCTTCTTCAGGTTGAGACCACGCACCTGGGACCCCATATTGGTTGAGGATAAGCACTCCGGCCTTGTCCCTGCCTCCGTCTTCTTCAGGTTGAGACCATGCGCCTGGGACCCCATATTGGTTGAGGATAAGCACTCCGGCCTTGTCCCTGTCTCTGTCTTCTTCAGGTTGAGACCACGCACATGGGACCCCATATTGGTTGCTAAGCACTCCGGCCTTGTCCCTGCCTCCGTCTTCTTCAGGTTGACACCACGCACCGGGGAGCCCATATTGGTTGAGGATAAACCCCCTCCGGCCTGTCCCCGCCTCCGTCTTCTTCAGGTTGAGACCATGCACTTTGGTTGACCTCCGGCCTTGTCCCTGGCTCTGTCTTCTTCAAGTAGACACCACGAACTGCGGACCCCATAATGGTTGAGGATAACGCACCTGGGACCCCATATTGGTCGAGGATAAACGCTCCGGCCTTGTCCCCGCCTCCATCTTCTTCAGGTTGAGACCACGCCCCTGGAACCCCATATTGGTGGAGGATATGCGCTCCGGCCTTGTCCCTGCCTCCGTCTCCTCAGGTTGACACCACGCACCGGGGACCCCATATTGGCTGAGGATAACACACATGATCACACATGCGACCCCATGTTGGTTGAGGATATGCGCTCCGGCCTTGTCCCCGCCTCTGTCTTCTTCAGGTTGAGACCAGGCACCTGGGACCCCATATTGGTTGAGGATAGGCGCTCCGGGCTTGTCCCCGCCTCTGTCTTCTTCAGGTTGACACCACGCACCGGGGACCCATATTGGTTGAGGATAACGCACCTGGGACCCCATATTGGTTGAGGATAAGCGCTCCGGCCTTGTCCCCGCCTCCGTCTTCTTCAGGTTGAGACCACGCACCGTGGACCCCATATTGCTTGAGGATAACACACCTGGGACGCCATGATGGTTGAGGATAAGCGCTCCGGCCTTGTCCCCGCCTCCGTCTTCTTCAGATTGAGACCACGCACCTGGGACCCCATATTGGTCGAGGATAAGCGCTCCGGCCTTAAACCCGCCTCCGTCTTCTTCAGGTTGACACCGCGCACCTGGGACCCAATATTGGTTGAGGATAAGCGCTCCACCGGCAACCCCATATTAATTGTGGATAACGCACCTGGCACCCCACATTGGTTGAGGATAAGCGCTCCGACCTCGTCCCCGCCTTGGTCTCTTGCAATGGAGACCACGCACTTGGGACCCCGTATTGGTTGAGGATAAGCACTCCGGCCTTGTCCCCTCCATCCTTTTCGAGTTGATACCACGGACCTGGGACCCCTCTTAGTTGAGGATAAGTGCTCCGACCTTGTCCCGGCCTCCGTCCTGTTCGAGTGGAGACCACGCACCTGGGACCCCATATTGGTTGAGGTTAAGCGCTCCGGCCTCGTCCCCGCCCCGGTCTTCTTGGAGTGGAGACCAGGCACCTGGGACCCCATATTGGTTGAGGATGCTCGCCCCGGCCTGGTCCCCGCCTCCATTCTTTTCGAGTCGAGACCACGCACCTAGGACCCCATATTAGTTGAGGATAAGCCGATCTTCTTGGAGTGGAGACCACGCACCTCTGGTTGAGGATAAGCATGGCGGCTGTGATTCCCCCTGGCCCCCATTCTGGTTGAGGATAAGCGTGGCGGCTGCACCTCTTCGCCTGGCACCGGATAAGCGTGGCGGCTGTACCCCCTGGCCCCTATTCTGGTTGAGGATAAGCGTGCATGGCGGCTGCGCCTCTTCCCCCTGGCCCCCATTCTGGTTGAGGATACCGGATAAGCGTGGCGGCTGTACCCCCTGACCCCTATTTTGGTTGAGGATAAGCCCCCTGGCCCCCATTCTGGTTGAGGATAAGCGGGGCGGCTGCACCTCTTCGCCTGGCACCGGATAAGCGTGGCGGCTGTACCCCCTGGGCCTTATTCTGGTTGAGGATAAGCGTGGCGGCTGCGCCTCTTCCCCCTGGCCCCCATTCTGGTTGAGGATAAGCGTGGCGGCTGCACCTCTTCGCCTGGCACCGGATAAGCGTGGCGGCTGTACTGGTTGAGGATAAGCGTGGCGGCTGCGCCTCTTCCCCCTGGCCCCCATTCTGGTTGAGGATAAGCGTGGCGGCTGTACCCCCTGGCCCCTATTCTGGTTGAGGATAAGCGTGGCGGCTGCGCCTCTTCCCCCTGGCCCCCATTCTGGTTGAGGATAAGCGTGGCGGCTGCACCTCTTCGCCTGGCACCGGATAAGCGTGGCGGCTGTACCCCCTGGCCCCTATTCTGGTTGAGGATAAGCGTGGCGGCTGCGCCTCTTCCCCCTGGCCCCCATTCTGGTTGAGGATAAGCGTGGCGGCTGCACCTCTTCGCCTGGCACCGGATAAGCGTGGCGGCTGTACCCCCTGGCCCCTATTCTGGTTGAGGATAAGCGTGGCGGCTGCGCCTCTTCCCCCTGGCCCCCATTCTGGTTGAGGATAAGCGTGGCGGCTGCACCTCTTCGCCTGGCACCGGATAAGCGTGGCGGCTGTACCCCCTGGCCCCTATTCTGGTTGAGGATAAGCGTGGCGGCTGCGCCTCTTCCCCCTGGCCCCCATTCTGGTTGAGGATAAGCGTGGCGGCTGCACCTCTTCGCCTGGCACCGGATAAGCGTGGCGGCTGTACCCCCTGGCCCCCATTCTGGTTGAGGATAAGCGTGGCGGCTGCGCCCTTCCCCCTGGCCCCCATTCTGGTTGAGGATAAGCGTGGCGGCTGCTCTTCGCCTGGCACCGGATAAGCGTGGCGGCTGTACCCCCTGGCCCCTATTCTGGTTGAGGATAAGCGTGGCGGCTGCGCCTCTTCCCCCTGGCCCCCATTCTGGTTGAGGATAAGCGTGGCGGCTGTCTTCGCCTGGCACCGGATAAGCGTGGCGGCTGCTATTCTGGTCGAGGATAAGCGTGGCGGCTGCGCCTCTTCCCCCTGGCCCCCATTCTGGTTGAGGATAAACGTGGCGGCTGCACCTCTTCGCCTGGCACCGGATAAGCGCGGCCTCGTCCCCGCCTCGAGCTTCTTCGAGTGGAGTTCCCGCTTCCATCCTTTTCGAGTTGAGACCACGCGGCTTGGACCCCATATTAATTGAGGATAAGCGCTCCGGCTTTGTCCCGGCCTCCGTCCTCTTCGAATGGACTTCACGCACCCGGGACTCCATGTTGGTTGAGGATAAGTGCTCTGGCCTTGTCCCCGCCTCAGTCATCATCGAGTGGAGTTCCCGCTTCCATTCTTTTCGAGTTGAGACCGGGCACCTTGGACCCTACATTAGTTGAGGATAAGCGCTCCGGCCTTGTCCCGGCTTCCGTCCTCTTCCAATGGACTTCACACACCTGGGACCCCATATTGGTTGAGGATAAGTGTTCCGGCCTCGTCCCGGACTGGGGCCGAGGATAAGGCCTTCCACTTCGTCCCGAACTGGGACCCCATATTGGCTGAGGATAAAGGTGGTCTGACCTTGTCCCAGCCAAAGGTGGTCCGGCCTTGTCCCAGACTCTGCACCGTTGGCTCTGAGGCCACGCACCTGGGACCACGCACCTGGGACCTTATATTGGTTGAGGATAAGCCCTCTCGTCCCGGAAGGATAAGTCTTTCCGCTGTCCCGGTCTCCGTGAGACAGATACCATGCACCTGCGACAGCTTACTGCTTGGGGCTGAGCTCCCCGGTCCTGGGACCGCGTGCTAGACACCCCAGATTGGTTGAGGATAAGCCCGGCCTCCGTCTTGCTTCGGCCTGTGTGCTCATGAGAGCGAGACAATAACCGGGCACCTGAAAGCCTGCTTTGCTTGAGGATAAGCCCCCCGGCCTTGTCTCTGAGGATAAGCCCGCCTCCGTCTTGCCTTCGGCTTCTGTCCTCATGAGGGCGAGACAACAACCGGGCACCTGGAAGCCTGGCTCCGCCTCCATCCCTGGGACCGCGGACTAGACACCCCATATTGGTTGAGGATAAGCCCGGCCTCCGTCTTGCCTTCGGCCTCTGTCCTCGTGAGGGCGAGACAACAGCCAGGCACCTGAAAGCCGACTTTGCTTCAGGATAAGTCCCCCGGCCTTGTCTCGGCCTCCATCTTCCTGGGACCGCGGGCTAGACACCCCATATTGGTTGAGGATAAGCCCGGCCTCCGTCTTGCTTCGTCCTCTGTTCTCATGAGAGCGAGAGAACAACCAGGCACCTGAAAGCTCATTTTGCTTGAGGATAAGCCCCCCGCGCTGCTTGAGGATAAGTGCCTCCTGCGGCCCTACTCCCGTTTCTACGCGCACCTGGTACGTCACATTTGTTGAAGATAAGCACTCGCCCTTGATCCCGCCTCTGCTTCTTCGGGTGAGACCACGCATCGAGGATTGGGGTCTTGCATAAGCATGGCGGCTGCACAGCAGAAAGCTTCAGGATAAGCAACCCTGCACGCGCGACCGAGTTCACTGCATCCTTCCTTTTGCTCTTGCGAGCGAGCAGCCGGAGAAGTCAGCGCATTGCGCATTCTAGAAGTACCTCGGTGATACGAAAGCGCTCGCGTTCGCCATGGCAACCAACCCATTCCACGACGTCGTTCGTGAAGAACTGTATCAAATGGGCGCGATGGAGGCGGCGGCGTGGGGCGGAAACACGGGTTTGCTCCTTGCACCGGAAAGCGAAGAGAGGTCCCGTGGATCCGGTGCCCATAGGCTCCAGTACTCCGTATTCCTCCCCGCCGTCGTCGTGGTGCAGGTAAACCTCCATGCACCCGTCGTGTAGCCGCTGAGCTTTGGCGCACAGCATTCTCAAAGCTGTAGGGCGGTCGCTCCGCCAAGCTTTGAAATGCACTTCGGTGCAGCCACCCGTCAGCAGGAGTTCCCGTGCCTCCAGGAAGGCGCGGCGCAGCAGGTGCTCCTCGTCGTCGAAGCTCACGGCTGGCACCACTTCCACGTCGCTGTTGACACGATAGCGACCGGTCATGGCAGTACTCAAAGTTGCCCCCTAGAGCTTGAGAAGTCAGATCTGCAGCAGAATCCTGGGCACACGGCCATGCACACATTGAGTCTAGCAGTGGCGGTCTGGCGTTCTTTAGCGTTTCCGCTTGAGCGGTGCCGAGTGCTCGTTGGCTCGTATTGTTCGGATGCCCGTCCCCATCCACTGCACCGCTTCTGCTGGTCTGCAAGTCGGACCTCGCAACTTCACAGTTGGCGATGTTTGCGCATGGGACCCCATGTTGGTTGAGGATGGGCGCTCCGGCCTCGTCCCCGCCTCCGCCTTCTTCGGGCTGTGAGACCACGCACCTGCGAGCCCATATTGGTCGAGAATACCCCGCCTCCCCCTTCTTCGGGCTGCCAGACCACGCACCTGGGACTCCATAGTGGTTGAGGATAAGCGCTCCGGCCCGGTCCCTGCCTCCGTCTTCTTCGGGCTGAGATCACGCACCTCGGACCCCATATTTGTTGAGGATAAGCGCTTTGGCCTCGTCCCCGCCTCCTCCTTCTCCGGGATGAGACTTCACACCTGGGACCCCATGTTGGTTGAGGAGAAGTGCTGCGGTCTCCCCGCCTCCGTCTTCTTCGGGCTGAGATCACGCACCTCGGACCCCAGATTTGTTGAGGATAAGCGCTTTGGCCTCGTCCCCGCCTCCTCCTTCTCCGGGATGAGACTTCACACCTGGGACCCCATGTTGGTTGAGGAGAAGTGCTGCGGTCTCCCCGCCTCCGTCTTCTTCGGGCTGAGATCACGCACCTCGGACCCCAGATTTGTTGAGGATAATCGCTTTGGCCTCGTCCCCGCCTCCTCCTTCTCCGGGATGAGACTTCACACCTGGGACCCCATGTTGGTTGAGGAGAAGTGCTGCGGTCTCCCCGCCGCCGTCTTCTTCGGGCTGAGATCACGCACCTCGGACCCCATTTTTGTTGAGGATAAGCGCTCCGGCCTCGTCCCCGCCTTCGCCTTCTTCGGGTTGGGACCCCATATTGGTTGAGGATAAGCCCTCCGGCCTCGTCCCCTCCGCTTTCTTCAGGTTGAGACCACGCACCTGGGACGTTGAGGAAAAGCGTGCTGGATCGGTTGAGGATAAGCGTTCCGGCCTCTTCCCCGCCTCCGCCTTCTCCGGATTCTTCAGGTTGAGACCACGCACCTGGGACGTTGAGGAAAAGCGTGCTGGATCGGTTGAGGATAAGCGTTCCGGCCTCTTCCCCGCCTCCGCCTTCTCCGGATTGGGACCCCGTAGTTCCCGCCTCCACTTTCTTCGGGCTGTGAGATGTCACACTTGGAACCCCATATTGGTTGAGGGTAAGCGCTCCGGCCTCGTCCCCGCCTCCAGTTTCTTCGGGCTGTGAGACGTCACACCTGGAACCCCATATTGGTTGAGGGTAAGCGCTCCGGCCTCGTCCTCGCCTCCAGTTTCTTCGGGCTGCGAGACGTCACATCTGGAACCCCATATTGGTTGAGGGTAACCGCTCTGGCCTCGTCCCCGCCTCTGCTTTCTTCGGGTTGGGACCCCATATTGGCTGAGGATAAGCGCTCCGGCTTCGTCCCCGCCTCCGCCGTCTTCTCAGCTTCAGACCACGCACCTGAAATCCCATCTTGGTTGAGGATAAGCCCTCCGGCCTCGTCACCACAGGAGACTGAGCGCCGGGATCACCGCGGACCATTAAATCTAGAGATGCTTTCTTCAGACTGAGCTCCCACGCTTCGGAATCCCATACTGATTGAGGATAAGCCCTCCCGGCCTTGTCCTTGGCTCCGTCTTCGAAAGAATGAGAACCCTCACTTGGGGCCACGCAGCCGCGACCCCATGTGGTTCGAGGATGAGTCCTCCAGCCTCGTCCCGGACTGAGACCCTATATTGGTGGAGGATAAGCCCTCCATCTTGGTCCCTGGCTTGCGTTCCTCAGGTTAAGACCACACGCCTCGGACCCCACATTGGTTGAGGATAAGCGCTCCGGCCTCGTTCCCGCCTCCGCTTTCCCTGAAACCCCATATTGGTTGAGGACAAGCTCTCCGGCCTCGTCCGCGCCTCCGCCGTTTTCTCAGCTTAAAACCGTGCACCTGAAACTCCATCTTGGTTGAGGATAAACGCTCCGGCCTCGTCCCCGCCTCCGCCTTCTTCGGGCTGTGAGACCACGCACCTGCGAGCCCATATTGGTTGAGGATACCCCGCCTCCCCCTTCTTCGGGCTGCCAGACCACGCACGTGAGGAAAAGCGTGCTGGATCGGTTGAGGATAAGCGTTCCGGCCTCTTCCCCGCCTTCGCCTTCTCCGGATTGGGACCCCGTAGTTCCCGCCTCCACTTTCTTCGGGCTGTGAGATGTCACACTTGGAACCCCATATTGGTTGAGGGTAAGCGCTCCGGCCTCGTCCCCGCCTCCAGTTTCTTCGGGCTGCGAGACGTCACACCTGGAACCCTATATTGGTTGAGGGTAAGCGCTCCGGCCTCGTCCTCGCCTCCAGTTTCTTCGGGCTGCGAGACGTCACATCACACCTGGAACCCCATATTGGTTGAGGGTAACCGCTCTGGCCTCGTCCCCGCCTCTGCTTTCTTCGGGTTGGGACCCCATCTTGGTTGAGGATAAGCGCTCCGGCCTTGTCTCCGCCTTCGCTTTCCCTGAAACCCCATATTGGTTGAGGACAAGCGCTCCGGCCTCGTCCCCGCCTCTGCCGTCTTCTCAGCTTAAAACCATGCACCTGAAACCCCATCTTGGTTGAGGATACGTCCCCGCCTCCGGCCTGAGATCCCAGACTTCGGAAACCCATATTGGTTGAGGATATCTCTGGCCTGATCCCCGCCTCCGTGTTCTTCTCAGGTTGAGACCATGCACCTGAAGCCCCATATTGGTTGAGTATACGTGGGTTGAAGATAAGCGCTCCGGCCTCGTCCCCGCCTCCGTCTTCATCTCGGGTTGAGCCCACGTGCCTGGAACCCCATATTGGTTGAGGATAAACGCCCTGGCCTCGACCCCGCCCCTGCCTTCCTCGGGTTGAGACCATGCTATATCTCCCCGTATGTGTCTACTGAATGCTGAATAACAGCTGCGTCGGATAGGAGTCGCTCGTAGTCATCGGGCATACCCCAAGAGTGCATGCGCGTGATGCAAGTGCTTCCCGTGCACCTTTTGGACTCTCAAGGGAAGAGGTTCTTATCGCCGGACCTGGCGCTCAGACGGCTGCCGTGGCCTCCTGGGCTGTGCTGTGGCAGGGACGTGCCCGCATGTTCTTCTTCGTTGTGCTGGTCCGGCCTGGAAGACATCCTCTTCCCAGAAACAAATGCTGTCCGAAAGATACCACCAGGGTATCCACGCGCCGTGCGGCACCCTTTGCCAAATGTATCCTGGTTGCACGTCAGTGTGCAGGTTCTGTTCTCTCGCTCTTGCTTGCTGGCCTGCCCACCCATTCTTCCTGAGAAGATTTCTTTTCTCTTCGACGGTGGCACAGGCCTAGCGCAACTAGCGTCAACCACCGTCGGCAGATGCTGGCTTGGTGTGCGTTGCTCGGCCCCTGACGCCCAGTTGGCTCTTGATGCTGTCCAACGGGCTCGGAGCTTCGCGCTCCGGTTTCCCGGCTCTGTCGCGGCGGCGGGGCCTGCAGCGCCATCGTGTTCAGCAGAGACATCACGAGCGCTTCTTAAGGCCCCGACGGACACAACCCGAGTCGGCGTGCACAGGGAGGGCCTCGATAAAGGTAAACGGCATATCAGGACTCCTCACTCGTAGAGCGTCCGAGGCTCGGGCACAACATCGCGTTGTGTGTCTCTTCTCCCTCGTATCCGGGGTCGATGCCCAAGTATCGGGCATATTCCTTGCACTCCTGGCGTAAAAACAAAGCCGAGTAAATGAGAAGTAGTTTCCCGCGACACATCCTCAGGTGCGGGCGCAGCACCGCAGTATACCTTCCGATCTCTCGAAACAGATTGTCCCTGTCGCCATAGCTTCTCCGAGGGGGACCGCTGGCTAGGAATTGCTCAATGAACAAGAGCTGCGTTCATAAGCTGCTGGGAGCAGGTACTCCTGCATGCGTCTGGCTGCACTACATGCTCAGTGATGGTCTCTTTCTCTGATATCCTTTTGCAATTGTCCCGCTTGCGAGCGCGGATACTCCATGGCTCGCCTTCGGCGACTCCGTCTCCTTCAGTGTTCGCCTGAATGGGACTCCGTATTGAGGATAAGCCCTCCCGGCCGTGTCCTTGCCTCTGTCTTGTTTAGCTTGAGCTTCCACACCGTCTTCTTCGGCTTGAGCTTCCACACCTCGGAAACCCATATTGGTTGAGGATAAGCCCTCCCGGCCTCGTCCTTGCCTCCGTCTTCTTCCGCTTGAGCTTCCACGCCTCGGAAACCCATATTGGTTGAGGATAAGCCCTCCCGGCCTCGTCCTTGCCCCCGTCTTCTTCCGCTTGAGCTTCCACGCCTCGGAAACCCATATTGGTTGAGGATAAGCCCTCCCGGCCTGGTCCTTGCCCCCGTCTTCTTCGGCTTGAGCGTCCACGCCTCGGAAACCCATATTGGCTGAGGATAAGCCCTCCCGGCCTCCTCCTTGCCTCTGTCTTCCTCCGCTTGAGCGTCCACGCCTCGGAAACCCATATTGGTTGAGGATAAGCCCTCCCGGTCGTGTCCTTGCCTCTGTCTTCTCCTCCGTGCCTCTGTCTTCTTCCGCTTGAGCTTCACGCCTCGGAAACCCATATTGGTTGAGGGTAAGCCCTCCCGGTCTTGTCCTTGCCTCTGTCTTCTTCCGCTTGAGCTTCACGCCTCGGAAACCCATATTGGTTGAGGGTAAGCCCTCCCGGTCTGGTCCTTGCCTCTGTCTTCTTCGGCTTGAGCTTCCACACCTCGGAAACCCATATTGGTTGAGGATACACTCTCCCGGCCTTGTCCTTGCCTCTGTCTTCTTCAGCTTGAGCCTTCATGCCTCGGAAACCCATATTGGTTGAGGATACACTCTCCCGGCCTTGTCGTTGCCCTTCTGCAGCTTGAGGGAAACCCATATTGGTTGGGGATAAACCCTCCCGGCCTTGTTCTTGCCCTTCTTCAGCTTGAGCTTCCACGCCTCGGAAACCCATATTGGTTGAGGATAAGTCCTCCTCCCGGCCTTGTCCTTGCCTCTGTCTTCTTCAGCTTGAGCTTCTACGCCTCGGAAACCCATATTGGTTGAGGAGAAGCTCTCCCGGCCTTGTCCTTGCCTCCGTCTCCTTCAGCTTGAGTTTCCACGCCTCGGAAACCCATATTGGTTGAGGATATTCTTCTTTTCTTCAGCTTGAGCCTTCTACGCCTCGGAAACCCATATTGGTTGAGGATACACTCTCCCGGCCTTGTCGTTGCCCTTCTGCAGCTTGAGGGAAACCCATATTGGTTGGGGATAAACCCTCCCGGCCTTGTTCTTGCCCTTCTTCAGCTTGAGCTTCCACGCCTCGGAAACCCATATTGGTTGAGGATAAGTCCTCCCGGCCTTGTCCTTGCCTCTGTCTTCTTCAGCTTGAGCTTCTACGCCTCGGAAACCCATATTGGTTGAGGAGAAGCTCTCCCGGCCTTGTCCTTGCCTCCGTCTCCTTCAGCTTGAGCTTCCACGCCTCGGAAACCCATATTGGTTGAGGATATTCTTCTTCAGCTTGAGCTTCCACGCCTCGGAAACCCATTGGTTTCAGGATAAGCCCTCCCGGCCTTGCCTCTGTCTTCTTCGACTTGTGAGCTTCCACACCTCGGAAACCCATACTGGTTGAGGATAAACCCTCCCGGCCTTGTCGTTGCGCTTCTGCAGCTTGAGACGCCACGTCTTGGAAACCCATATTGGTTGATGATAAACCCTCCCGGCCTTGTCCTTGCCCTTCTTCAGCTTGAGCTTCCACGCCTCGGAAACCCATATTGGTTGAGGATGGCTCACCCCCGGCCTTGTCCCTGCCTCTGTCTTCTTCAGCTTGAACTTCCACACCTCGGAACCCCATATTGGTTGAGGATGAGCCCTCCCGGCCTTGTCCCTGCCCCTGTCTTCTTCAGCTTGAGCTTTCACGCCTCGGAAACCCATACTGGTTGAGGATGAGCCCCCCCCCCGGCCGTGTCCCTACCTGTGTCTTCTTCAGCTTGAACTTCCGCACCTCGGAACCCCATGTTGGTTGAGGATGGGCCCTCCCAGCCTTGTCCTTGCATAGGTACTCCGGCCTCTCCTCGCCTCCGTCCTGTTCGAGTTGAGACCACGCACCTCGGACCCGATATTGGTTGAGGACAAGTGCTCCGGCCTGGTTCCCGCCTCCATCCTCTTCAAGTTGAGACCGCGCACCTGGGACCCCATATTGCTTGAGGATAGGCACTCCGGCCTGGTCTCGGCTTCTGTTCTCTCCAGACCACGAACCTGGGAACCCATGACAGTTGAGGATAGGCGATCCGGCCTTGTCGCCGCCTCCGTCTTCTTCAGGTTGAGACCACGCGCCGAGAACGTATTCTGAGAGTAAGTCCTTCGAGCCTGTTGTCGCCTCCTCTTGAAGCTCGCCTTCTTCTGGCTTCAAGCACCTGGCACTGATGCACGCTGCGGTAGGGCGCGCACCTAGGACCCCATATCGGTTGAGGATAAGTGCTCCGCCCTCGTCCCCACCTTCACCTTCTTCGGGCCGAGATCGCGTACCTGGGACTCCACGTTGGTCGAGGATAAGCGCTCCGGCCTCGTCCCCGCCTCCGCTTTCGCACCTGGGACCCCATATTGGTTGAGGATAAGCGCTCCGGCCTCGTCCCTGCCGAGCACGCACCTGGGACCCCAGCTCCGGCCTCGTCCCCGCCTCCGCCTTCTTCGGGCTGAGACCACGCGCCTGGAACCCCATATTGCGCCGGCCTGGTCCGCGAGAGCACGCACCTGGGACCCCATATTGGTTGAGGATAAGCGCTCCCGCCTCCGAGCACGCGCCTGGAACATATTGGTTGAGGATAAGCGCTCCGGCCTCGTCGCCTTCTTCGGGCTGAGACCACGCACCTGGGACCCCATATTGGTTGAGGATGAGTGCTCCGGCCTCGTCCCTGCCTCCGCCTTCTTCGACTGAGACCACGCACCTGGAACCCCACATTGGTTGAGGATAATCAGCGCTCACCTCCTCACTTCGGTCTCTTGGGGTTGGGACCACGTACCTGGGACACCATGCAGGCGAGCCTGCACGGCTTCGTTCCCGCTCCCGGCCTTCTTCTTCTTGAGGATACGCACCTGGCACTCCACGCTGGTTGCGGTCTAAGTGAGCGGGTTGGGAGGGGAGGAGGGTGGGGAGGTCACTGCCTTGCGGTGCGGGGTTCGGGGGAGGGAAGGGGAGGGAGGGAAGGGGGGGAGGGAGCGGGGGGACCCTCCGGAGGGGGCACCGGGTGGGGGGGAGGGGGGGGGGAGGGTGGGGAGGGGTGCGGGGGAAGGGGAACCCACACCCCATTTTAGTTGAGGATTGTTTTTTGGTGTCTGCCCACTACCCCCCGTGAGACTCGTGCCACCCCCCCGGAGGAGGCACCGGGTGGGGAGGGGGAGGGAAGGGGGGAGGGTGGGGGAGGGGGCCGGGGAGGGGTGGGAACCAACACCCCATTTCAGTTGAGGATTGTTTTTTGGTGTCTGCCCACTACCCTCCCGCCCCAGGAGGAGGGGGGAGGGCGCTCAGGGGGAGGGGGGGCGGGGGGAAGACCCCACACCCCATTTTAGTTGAGGATTGTTCTCTCGGCCTTGTCGCTGAGACCACACACCTCGGCAACCACATTGGTTGAGGCTCAAGCTTCCATACCTTGGATTGTCCTTGCCTCTGTCTTCTTCGGCTTGAGCTTCCACACCTCGGAACCCCATACCGGTTGAGGATAAGCCTTCCCGCCTTGTCTCTGCCTCTGTCTTCTTCGGCTGGAGCTTCCATACCCCGGAAACCCACATCGGTTGAGTATAAACCCTCCCGGCCTTATCCTTGCCTCTGTCTTCTTCGACTTGTGAGCTTCCACGCCTCGGAAACCCGTACTAGTTGAGGATAAACCCTCCCGGCCTTGTCGTTGCGCTTCTGCAGCTTGAGACCCCACGTCTTGGAAACCCATATTGGTTGATGATACACCCTCCCGGCCTTGTCCTTGCCCTTCTTCAGCTTGAGCTTCCACGCCTCGGAAACCCATACTGGTTGAGGATGAGCCCCCCCCCGGCCTTGTCCCTACCTGTGTCTTCTTCAGCTTGAACTTCCACACCTCGGAACCCCATGTTGGTTGAGGATGGGCCCTCCCGGCCTTGTCCTTGCCTCGGAAACTTATATTGGTTGAGGATAAGCCCTCCCGGCCTCGTTCTTACCTCTGTCTTCTTCAGCTTGAGCTTCCTGGGGCCACGCACTTCGAACCCCGGCCTTGTCCTTGCCTCCGTCGTCTTTTTGCTGGGGTCACGCACCTCGGACCTCATATTGGTTGAGGCCTCGTCCTTTCTCTTTTCTCCAAGATGAAACCATGCACCTGGGACCCTATCTTGGTTGAGGATAGGCACTCCGGCCTCTCCTCGCCTCCGTCCTGTTCGAGTTGAGACCACGCACCTCGGACCCGATATTGGTTGAGGAGAAGTGCTCCGGCCTGGTTCCCGCCTCCATCCTCTTCAAGTTGAGACCGCGCACCTGGGACCCCATATTGATTGAGGATAGGCACTCCGGCCTGGTCTCGGCTTCTGTTCTCTCCAGACCACGAACCTGGGAACCCATGACAGTTGAGGATAGGCGATCCGGCCTTGTCGCCGCCTCTGTCTTCTTCAGGTTGAGACCACGCGCCGAGAACGTATTCTGAGAGTAAGTCCTTCGAGCTTGTTGTCGCCTCCTCTTGAAGCTCGCCTTCTTCTGGCTTCAAGCACCTGGCACTGATGCACGCTGCGGTAGGGCACGCACCTAGGAGCCCATATCGGTTGAGGATAAGTGCTCCGCCCTCGTCCCCACCTTCACCTTCTTCGGGCCGAGATCGCGTACCTGGGACTCCACGTTGGTCGAGGATAAGCGCTCCGGCCTCGTCCCCGCCTCCGCTTTCGCACCTGGGACCCCATATTGGTTGAGGATAAGCGCTCCGGCCTCGTCCCTGCCGAGCACGCACCTGGGACCCCAGCTCCGGCCTCGTCCCCGCCTCCGCCTTCTTCGGGCTGAGACCACGCGCCTGGAACCCCATATTGCGCCGGCCTGGTCCGCGAGAGCACGCACCTGGGACCCCATATTGGTTGAGGATAAGCGCTCCCGCCTCCGAGCACGCGCCTGGAACATATTGGTTGAGGAAAAGCGCTCCGGCCTCGTCGCCTTCTTCGGGCTGAGACCACGCACCTGGGACCCCATATTGGGTGAGGATAAGTGCTCCGGCCTCGTCCCTGCCTCCGCCTTCTTCGACTGAGACCACGCACCTGGGACCCCACATTGGTTGAGGATAATCAGCGCTCACCTCCTCACTTCGGTCTTCTTGGGGTTGGGACCACGTACCTGGGACACCATGCAGGCGAGCCTGCACGGCTTCGTTCCCGCTCCCGGCCTTTTTCTTCTTGAGGATACGCACCTGGCACTCCACGCTGGTTGCGGTCTAAGTGAGCGGGTTTGGGAGGGGGGTGGGAGGGGCAGAGCGAGGGGGAGGGAAGGGAGCGGGGGAGGGAAGGGGGGGAGGGAGGGGGGGGACCCTCCGGAGGGGGCACCGGGTGGGGGGGAGGGAGGGGGGGGAGGGTGGGGAGGGGTGCGGGGGAGCCCCACACCCCTTTTTTGTTGAGGATTGTTTTTTGGTGTCTGCCCACTACCCCCCCGTGAGACTCGTGCCACCCTCCGGAGGAGGCACCGGGTGGGGAGGGGGAGGGAGGGGGGGAGGGTGGGGGAGGGGGGCGGGAGGGGCGGGAACCAACGCCCCATTTTAGTTGAGGGGAGGGGGGAAGACCCCGCACCCCATTGATTTCTGCCACTACCTTCCCTGAGAATTCGTGCCACCCTGCCAACTGTGGAAGGGAGGCCGTCAATAGGGCATGGGAGGGGGAGGGAGGGGGAGGGGGAAGGTCGGCTAGCTCCTGAACTGCATACCTTCAGGTTCCTGTTTTGTTTGAGGAAAAGCTCTCCGGATAAGCCCTCTCAGCCTTGTCGCTGAGACCACACACCTCGGCAACCCACATTGGTTGCGGCTCAAGCTTCCATACCCTGGATTGTCCTTGCCTCTGTCTTCTTCGGCTTGAGCTCCCACACCTCGGAACCCCATACCGGTTGAGGATAAGCCTTCCCGCCTTGTCCCTGCCTCTGTCTTCTTCGGCTGGAGCTTCCACACCCCGGAAACCCACATCGGTTGAGGATAAGCTCTCCCCGCCTTGCCGTTGCCTCTGTCTTCTTCGACTTGTGAGCTTCCGCACCTCGGAAACCCACATCGGTTGAGGATAAGCTCTCCCGGCCTTGCCGTTGCCTCTGTCTTCTTCGACTTGTGAGCTTCCGCACCTCGTATGTGTTCATAGGGAGGATTCCCGAACCAAAAAAGTTCGGGAATCCTCCGAAGAGGTATGTGTTCATACGGAGGATTCCCGATCAAAAAAGTTCGGGAATCCTCCGAAGAGGTATGTGTCCAAAGGGAGGATTCCCGACCAATGTTTTTTTGCTTTTGTTCCATGAAATTAAATCAAAAGGATCAGGGATTCCCGATGGGTGTTCTTTCACGAAAAGAGTAGAAATTGTATAGGGTTTGGGTCCGGAGTTTTGGGTGGTTTTTGGGGGTTTTGGCTTTTGCTTTTGTATCTTGGTTTCTGGGATTTGGGGGACGGCTGGTGGGTTTTGTTTTTGCTTCGCTTTTTGGTTGGCTTGACTGGCTGGGCCGGGTCGCTTTTTGGCTGGCTTGACTGGCTGGGCTGGGCTAGGCTGGGTTGCGCTGGTAGGCTGGGTTGGGCTGGTAGCTGAACTGGGCTGGGCTGGCTGGGTTGAGCGAAACGTCTTGAGCGAAAGTTTTGGCTTTTGACTTGTGATTTCGCATTCTGCTTGGCTAGGCTGGCTAGGCGGTTTTGACCGAAAGTTTTGAGCGAAAGTTTTGAGCGAAAGTTTTGTTTTTTGCTTTGGTATTTTGATTCTGGGAGTGGGCTGGGCCTGGGGGGCTTGGGCTGGGACTGGGTTGGAATTTGGCTGGACACGTTTAATGAAAATTTGAAACTAATGATAATGCAGTTCGAAGCGAAACTCGCACAATTTCTATTTATCCTGCTCTTGAGGGTTTAGGGTTTAGGGTTTAGGGTTTAGGGTTCGCCAGCGCAGTTTTTTGAGACTGCGCTAAAAGGCGCCCCGAGCATCTCACGCGAAGCCAGCAGCTGCATCCCTTTCTTTTAAGGGGCTGCGCTTAAGCCTTAAAACCCTTGTCTGCACTGCGATTGCTCTCTGTTGGTTCGGGCTAGACTAAATTGAGTCTTTCTGATTGTTATGGGTTTGCTGGGGTTTGGTAAAAAAGCCCGTTTCTGACAATCGTGTTTTTCGGCACTTTTTCCGGGTTGGGGATCGAAACCTTTGAACTTTTTTCTGGCGCGGCCGGGTCCCCCCTCGCGAAGTTTCAGGGGTGCGAGGTGGGTTGGGGCTCGGAGGCGGAGGGGTCCGAGTGCGAGCATCTCACCCGAAGGCTTTCTCTGCCTTAAGGGGGTCCATGTGGACTGCGCTCACAGGCGCCCCGAGCATCTCCCACGAAGGCTTGCTCTGCTTTAGGGGGGCTGGTCCTTAGGTCCTAAAGTTTTGCGTGTGCCCTGCGATTGTGCTCTGTTTGTTCGGGTTAAGTTAGGTTTAGAGCCCTGTGAGTGTAAAAGGATTGCCGGGTCTTGGTGGTTCTTGTGGTTTCACTGCTTTGAGGGGGCCGTTGCTTAAGCCTTAAAAGTTGTCGTCTGCTCCGCGATTGCTCTCTGTTGGTTCGGGCTAGACTAAATTGAGGCTTTGTTAGTGTTGAGGGATTGCCGGGGTTTGGGGGTGCTTGTGGTTTCACTGCTTTTAGTGGGCCGTTGCATAAGCCTTCAAGCTCGTCGTCTGCCCCGTTGTCTGCTCCGCGATTGCTCTCTGTTGGTTCGGGCTAGACTAGAATGAAGCTTTCTTATTGTTGAGGGATTGCTGGGCTTTGGGGGTGCGTGTGGTTTTACTGCTTTGAGGGGGCCGTTCCTTATGCCTTCGAACTCGTCGTCGGCCCTACGAGTGCTCCCTGTTTGCTCGGGCTGCTCTTGGTTGAAGCTTTGGTAGTGTTTAGGGATTGCCGCGGTTTTGGTGTCTTTGTTGTTTGAAAGAAGGTCAAGGTTCGCGGGGGCGTTTCTGCCTAGGCTCGGGAGATTTTTCTTTCGTGGGAGGGTCCCCCCTTGTGTTCCTGAGGGGTCTAGATTGTCGGAAGATGGCAATCCTGGTTGGTGGCGGGGGGGTCACATTGCCAACAGGTGGCAATCACACCTGCGTTTTTGGTGCTTAGCTGCCATTTGCCAGGCCTGATGGATTGCCGGCAGGTGGCAATCTTAGGGGGTCTAGATTGTCAGAAGGCGGCAATCGTAGGGGGGGGGGGGTATAGATTGCCAACAGGTGGCAATCACAGGAGATCTAGATTGTCAGCAGGTGGCAATCTTAAGGGGGGGGGGTCACATTGCCAACAGGTGGCAATCACACCTGCGTTTTTGGTGCTTAGCTGCCACTTGCCAGGCCTGATGGATTGCCGGCAGGTGGCAATCTTAGGGGGTCTAGATTGTCAGAAGGTGGCAATCGTAGGGGGGGGGTATAGATTGCCAACAGGTGGCAATCACATGAGATCTAGATTGTCAGCAGGTGGCAATCTTAAGGGGGGTGTTTGCTAGGGTTGAGGGTTTGTTGCGGTTTATTTGTTAGAGTTTAAGGTTTGGTCGGTCCTAGGGTTCGTTGGGGCTTAGGCTTTGTTAGAGTTTGGGACTCTGTTAGGCTTTAGGGTTTCTTAGGCTTTAAGGCTCGGTAGGGTTTAAGCTTTGTTAGGCTAGAGGGTTTGCTAGGGTTTAGGGGCTCTTGGGGTTAGGGTTTGTCATTCTTTCCTCTACTCCTTCCGCCCAGGCTCGGCGGTGCTGCTTTTGCGTGGCCGGGCGCTCCCTCGCGAGGCTTCAGGGGTTCCAGGTGGGTTGGGGCTCCGAGGCAGAGAGGTCCGAGTGCGCGAGGCTTGGGTGTTGAGGGTTTTCCGGACTTGGAAGGTGGGTTGGGGCTCCGAGGCAGTGAGGTTTCGAGTGCGTGCCGTGCTTTGTGTGGGGGCTTTGGGTTGTTAGGCTTTGGGGTGCGCTAGGATTTAGGGTTTGGCAGGGTTTAGCGTTTGTCGGCGTTTAGGGCTTGTCCGGGTTTGCGGCTTGTTGGCGTTTCGGGTTCGGTTAGGCTGTTTAGGTTTCGGGTTTCTTAGGGTTAAGGTTTCGTGTCGCCGTGGCCAGGGGCTAAGCCTAGGCCCCCAATCGTGAAAGGAGCCGGGGGGTCGAGCGGGAGCACCACTCGCTAGTCCCGGACCCGTCGGCTCCTTTCACTTCGGTTTTTTTTATTTTTGTGGTGCGATGGGGTTGGTGAGTCGAGGGGGTCGAGTGCCTAGTTTACTCAAATCCTCCCGCGGGGTTCCGCCAGCTTCGCTTGGTTACATGGGTTTCAGCCTACTGGAATTGTAAAATTATTTAGGGCCGCCCTAAATCTAGGGTTAGCGGTTTAGGGCTAAATCTAGGGCGAACGGTTTAGCCCACGAAGATTGATGAAGTGCCCGACGAAGATTGATGAAGTGCCCACGAAGATTGATTGACGAAGATGATGAAGTGATCAGCCCTAAACCTAGGGCTAACGGTTTAGGGCCACCCTAAATCTAGGGCTAACGGTTTAGGGCCGCCCTAAATCTAGGGCTAACGGTTTAGGGGCCGCCCTAAATCTAGGGCGAACGGTTTAGCCCACCAAGATTGATGAAGTGCCAACGAAGATTGATGAAGTGATCAGCTGAAAACGTCAAGTACCCACGAAGCCAGTAAGGTTTAAATTACTATAGGTAGAGAGGTTTAGGGTTTAGGGTTTAGGGTTTACGCAGCTCTCTTTTCCTTGCTGCAACTGCAGTGCGTCTGCTCGCCTGTCCGATGCAGGCAGACTCAGGCGCGATGGAACGGCCGCCGTGCCTAACGATGATTGGTTGCATCAAGTTTTCTGGCTGGTGCTTGTGAGCCGTCCGGCGTTGTCTGCACAGGCTGCGTGGCTGCCAACCCCGCTGGTGTACGTGGCTCAGCAAGACTCTGATCACGCATGATTGCAGAGCGTGCTTCCACCCATGCATTCAGGAAGATGTCCTTTGCTACTGACGGACGGATTGCGTCTGGATCGCGCGGTTCTGCTAGTAGGGGGTTGCAGCGTGCTGCCAGCAGTGTCAGCACCGTGCTCTCGTCGCCACCCCATGCGGCATGGGCGAGTGGCCTGCGTTCACGGTAGTTCGGCGCTTCCATGTCCGCTCTGGCCTGCAAAAGCATTTGCACTATTGGGCCGCTGCCTTTGCTAGC